ATCGAAATAAGAACGCTTCATTATTTATTCAGCGATGTTTCCGGGATTTATAAATCTGAATCAGCTTAATTGAAATAATTTCAAGTTGAAAAACATATTTGTTAGAATATAATCGAAATAGATCACAGATAAAAATAAAATAGGCATTTATAAATAAGTATTGTCCGGATTTTTGTTATACATGCGATGCGGCAAGGAAGCCTTTCATTGTAGTTTGCTGATTTTGTGATCACTTGTCCCTCTGTGGCACTATTATTCTAAAACTGTTAATTTCTTGTTCTGTTTGGAGAAATATTATCGATATTTTTCTATAAAAAGGTTACAAAATTTTGGTATTTTGGGGTTAGCTTCACGTCAAAATCCAAAGAAAAATAAGCAACCTGCCATGATAGTCAGTACTGTCAAATTACTACGGTTCACTTTAGAGGTCGACATTTGTTATTTGTTGTCGCTGTAAAAAACGTAATGGAAGGCTTAACGATTTGTTACACTAAACACTCTCTAACGACCACTGTTGCTGTGCCAAATTGACGAGTCTGATTTAAAATATTGCGTTAAGGTCGTCAGTCACGATATTAAATTCTATACATAATGTTGTAACACATTTGTTTGGAAAAATGTGTTGCGAAATGTATTTCTCAGATTCTAAAAATTAGAATCCATGCACAGAAATACATTTTTGTAATAAATTCCATATTAAATCATATAAATTTAGGTATAAAATGACTATATTTCTGTCAACTTCGAATCGTCATTGATCACAATGCCAAACATCTATTCTAACCTCACTTTAAGTTGCAATTTTAGCCAAACATTTTCATTTCAGATTCGAAATCGTGTGTCATGCTCGTGTTTATGAGACTTTTGTTCATTACAATGTTTATGGTACAAGGTGGTGTATGTAAGAAGTGAAGTTGCCTACTATCAAGTATCCTCGTTTCCTTATATAAATTGTATGACGGATATAATCTTAACAAATGGAAAATGGATATTGAAACAATTCTATGTGGTACATCTAGATCAAAAATATATATCTTGCAGGTGGCACCCAGGCTGTGATGCCGTATATTATATGGGTTTCAACTAAGGCATGGTACAGTATTCGGAGATAACTTTCTGTAAGAATGTTTACTAGTATTTTGAGTATCTAGGCAACATTTCTAATTTTTACAACACATGTTAATATAATTATCCCACCTTTAATGTGATTCTATTAATACTCCAAGATATTTTAAATTGTCAACTCCATCGATTTTGGTGATGTACGTGATAGTTGAGGTGGCACCAACCAGCGAATGAGTCGACCTACTTGACAACCATTTTGGCTCCCATAAACATTTCTCTCGATTGTCGTCTACTAATATTGCCCTCGAATGAGGTCGACTTTCACGCGATCTAAAATTACGTTAAATGCTCTCAGATGGAATTCACTTTTCTGTCACACATTTCACATTAGCATTCGTAAAAGCCATTTTAATGTATGATTATTTCTCTCAGTTTAATTATGCGATCACACGGTTGGTTGCTCCTGCAACAATTCATGATCACAATACCCGTGCTCATTTGTTTAGATGTTAGATCAACGATTGATAAATGTTTAACTAGCGCTTTGTATGTATTTTAGACGATTTGTTGATTTTACATGCAGCTTCGGGCATACATTAGCATAACCATCACGTGAAAATGTGCGCATAATTGACTTATAACTTGTTTTATAAAATGAAGGTGCATTAGAAAAGTTCACAATTACCCGAATATAGAATAGTTATAAGCTTAAGCTTGCCTTAAGTCTTTAAGTGTTAGATTTTTTTAGTTTATTTATTGACCACTGAAGATACAGAGTATATGTGGCACGTAAATGTAGGTGTGAAATGCAATATAAATATAGTACAGTGATCGTGGTAAACGCGTGTACTACCCTGTTTATTCGCTGTATACTCAAAGACACATGTGTTGAAAATATGTCTCTATCATTCTAAATTTTAAGGGCAAATGTATGGAAAAATCTATGATGTGTGAAATATGCCTGATAGGTATGTAAAAATATCAGATTTGGAAACGCAGAAATAAACTAATGCCAAAAATTGACATACGCCTTCTCCTGCCATCTACAACCCCCGACTTCCGTTTTAACCGCTGCAAAAAATGTCTGAAAATGATCAGGAGCCTTTGAATCATCAAACAACGAAGTTTGTGAGTTTTTATTTTTTTGTTTTTGCCTGTAACTCTACCGCCACTAGACCGATCCCAAAAACTACAGACATCTTTCTTCCTTGGCATAGTCATAACCATGTGTGCAAATTTCATAAAAAACAAAGCTGTAATTTCCAATAAGCTGAACTTTTCGCGATTACAATAATTCCTCGCCAGAGGTGTGGGAAGTAAAAAATGAAGAAAAATTGAAGAATGCACTAGAAACTATGATAAAGAACGATGGATTGGTTTAGTTCGTCAGGGACCTAACACAATGTGACGAGTTTTTAACATCTTTTTTTTTATGATGTTTTTGGAAAGCCTATTTCTATAGGTGCCTACTCCTTTTTGACAGCTATAAATTGGCCAGTTGTTTTTATAAATCCGATTTGTTTTAGCACCGCAGCGTGACGAAAATATTGAATGCCGATAGTTGTTGGTTCTAGGAAGTATTAGGTATACATTTGTAATTTTTGACTTTCGACTGGTGAAGTGACTTACAGAATGCCTTCTCTTTTTGCTCAATACCAAAGTAATTAAAAGACAAAATAATGAAGCTATTTATCCGGTTTCCATTTTTCAAACCTTGGCTAGAAAGGACTTGCATTGAGTTGCGGTTTGAGAACATACAGTTTTCAGTCTTGAAGGAGTATGTTGAACCCTATGTTAAAGTGCATACTTACATTCTAAATTTATATTTTTTAATGACTGAACATTGTCCAACCATAATTTGACATAACGCAACAGTTTCTATTCATTGTTATCTTCATGTAACAACACTTCAATGATAATTATAATGCGTTGGTCACAAAATAATAACAAACGAAGTGACATCTTCAAGTAAATAATTACTGCAATGCATCGTATATGATTGTCTTAATTACAGTTGTTTTATTTAATGTATGATATGCATTTTGTTAAAAAGCTGTTTGATTTATGATTTACATCACAAATAGTAAAATCTGCCTTATTATCAGATAAGGTTTCAGTTTGATTTGTCTCTCTTCTTTCTGTCAAAGAATGTAATATCGTGTATCCCCTCTAACACGAAAATCTTTGTATCATCTTCCACAAAGTGTTTTATACAATATAATAATAATAAATGTAAAAAATTCGAATGAAAACGATGATAATTGTTCCAATTATGCTACATACCGTTATGAAAAATCGTGTTTCGAGAAAGACCCGTTTAAAGATTTAAAATGCATTATAGACATGAACAATTATGTCGTTTCTGTACACGTGTACCGATGAACTATTGATTAGAAATACTTTTACCTGAACATAAACGCCTTAAAGTTATACCTGTTAGTGTATTTCATAATACAAAAATTAAAGGTAAGACAGTAGGCTGCACTTTATCAGCAGGTATTCATCTGACGCAGGCGTCGTTTCGGAAGAGCTCGAAATTACAAGAAAAAATATATGAAATGCTTTTCCTTTATTTTCAAACATTTAAAGTATATGTAAGCCAATATAAATGGCGTGAAGTTGACTGTACTTCCCAACGCTACCGTCAGTTCATGAAGGATTATTATGTTCATCACAAAATAGACCCTCAGAGAAAAAAAATGCTACTAATACTAAATAGCTACAATCAACAGTGAAGTAGTATCCATGTTTTGAAGACGGATAAATATAAATATAAATACTGGTAGAACGTTGAACCAATTACGGCTAAAGTCGTATAACCTAGAATTTGTTTATGTGTTACTTGGAGTCCTAGACTATAATGCTAGATAGAACATTTTGTATGTTGAAAGATTATGCGATTTAAGTAGCACTTAAATCTAACACATTACGGCTTGTAAATCGTCCAGACTGCGCAGTTCTCAAAAACTGAATATTTTCGGAAACAGGCTAGAAACCATTTCTCGTGTCGACAATTTGTTATTTTCTCATATTGTTATCGAGATGAGATGAAATAAGACAGATAGTATTTATGATATTTATTAATACGTAGATATTATTTGCGATTTGATTTACCACACTATTTTGAACTTGATCTTGAAACTAAAATATTACTCTTTTAGATCGGCAAATATCTATTTTTATTTCTTTTTATTTGTTAAATGTCCAAACCAATTTACATATGTTGTTCCTTTTTACAATAATTAATTCAAAACCAATATATGCGTATAAGACATTTCTGTTAGAAACACACCATCTTCAGGCATATACCTGTACAAATATTATACAGCTTGAGCATCATAGCTCCTCTGTTTTGAAAGATTGCAAGGTCAGAAAGTACTCAATAGAGTAAAATGTGACAAATGACTGCTCATTCCATTTAAAAAATGGGTCAAGCCTCATCTTGGGATTTTAACTGAATAGACCTTCTAAACAGCAATATTTTTACTGCATTATATAGCTGCAAAAACATATAGCACGATTTTTATTATGGTCCGACTGTTACAAATCGGTAATAGCATAATATAGTGGAGCCTCTGAAGTGCATTGTATTTTATATTTTTAATGTGGATTAGCTGTATTGTGACGGTGTTGCTACACATTTTTGATATTTCCAACATATTTTCATACATTGTTGTCAGATTGCCAAACTATCGGAATCCTATTTACTGGTTTTGCAGCCCTTCTGATAAGAAACTCTTAAAAGTATATGTGTCTTCACATTGCGGAAATATTGCCAAGATATAGGCATGATTTAGCTAATATATATTTGCGTACATACAGATCTAATTCGTGGACTTGATATTGTGATTAGTAGTGATTCGTTGTTCATTTGTAATGATAAATCGATTAAAAACCACTTAATGACCATCCCCATCCATACAAAACCTCCGTACCTTGGCCACTGCTGACCCGCAAAGATATTCCACCAACTAGGCCTCTTCTGCCTGACGAACCCCTCTTCTGGCACGGCAGCCGCATCATCCTCGGTCTCCTCTTCCGCCACGGCCAGCGATCCCTTTCTGCGCTTGCGCTCGAACCTGATGGCGTGCCACGACTTCCGCCTGCCTTTCTTCTGCGCCTGCGCGGCCATCGCGTCGGAGGCGGCGTCAACGCGCAGCATGGATGGTGTGGATACGCGCCTGCGCCGGCGCATGTCGCGGTTGTCTTCTAGCCCCGCCCAGGGGTCCTTCTCGTGGACCACCTAAGTGGGTAGTAGGCGGAGTTACGTTAGAGATGGGCGGGGTTAGAGATAGGTGGAATAACAGACTAACAGTCGTGCGAAAATTTTTAAATGATTAATGGATCACACTGGGATGAAAAAAAATCAAATGAATCCCACTATCACATCTGACATCTATTTTTTATTCTGAAGATTCTTTTTGAATTCAATATGCCACTTCAAAAATAAAACTCTAAATTAATAGAGTTTGTTCTATGTACATATACACGTACCGTATTATTATTGAAATATGTAATATCATCTAGTAATCATGTAACTTGGAACGACATGTAATCTGTAATCCAAATATCATTGATTACGCCCATCTCTGAAGGGCAGCTACAGTGGCAGAATGAACTGGTCTTTGGTGATTGTCAAACAGATATGATATGATCTACGATATCTACCAATCATGTATGGAACTGCTACTGCCGTACCATACCTAAGTCTGAGATTGAAACATGGCACTACATTTAAAAAAGTGTCGATTTTGAGGTGCGAATGTAAAATCTATAAGGAGCTGCAAACAACAGTGATGATCTATAAGAGAAATAGTTGAAATAAATTTGCGAAGGACGTAAAAACACAAGATATACAACATCTGACTGAGACCACGTTCATTCTACCATATCTAATGTTGGAATTATGCATCACTTTTCCACTTTCACTGAGGAATTTATTTCATTATTTTTTCCGGAGAAAAAATAGTTCTAATGAAAGCAAAATAAGACATACAGTGTGAACCATATAAAATTAACATTTGAAGGGATCACAGAACTGAAGGAATGCCTTGTAATATGAACAAAAAATATGGTTATCTTTGAAGCCAGAATTAAGCTTCAAGCCACCTTAAGGAATTCGCCTCGTCTATATAAACCTTCCCACTTCTTTTCAGAGATATATACTGCTTCCTATGAGTCACCTTCACAGACTTTTGTCATCCCGTTAACGCCCTCCAAAATTTGTTACTTCATGCTAAATGCTCATTACATAAACCACCGCTATTTACCAAATATTCTCAAAAGTATTATCAGATCCTTATTACTCGATTGATAGAACAAAGAACCATTTTAATGTAACTATATTATTTGTTAATGAGGCAAACTGGAACAGATTTTTCTCTGGATTTCGGGATTTAATTAATTTTTTAGAATAATTTGAATATCGTTTTGAGTTTAAGAGAGCAATAAATACGTTCGTAATTCAAGAAATTTCCAAATTCATTTCATCCATCTTTTTCAAGTTGACAATTCTCAATGAGGGAATTATTTGATAAATTGCTCTCACTTTTTATACTCAACCCAGGTAATTTTTGGTGCATCCTGTATAGTCCCTAATAACGTCCATCTTAGTCCATACTATATGTAAGAGTTGCATAACTCCAACCCAAACTAACCTGTAGCATATCCTGGTTCATCATTTTATCGAATTCTATGAAAATCTTGGCGCTCATGGTTCGCTCATTTTCGATGACCCATTTTTTCCATCCGGGTAGGGAGAATCGATCCAAGGTCACCGTTGATTGGGCCTTTACGCCGCCGTTTGGACTCTATCCAAAATTTCTGCTGCCTACTGCAAATTAGCCCTCGCTCAATTTCATGTACAGACCAACCACGATATTGCAACTCAAGTGTCGAGGGTAAATTGTCAATACACGTTGTTTCAAAATAAAGGTAGCCGTGGTTGACATCATCAAAAGTTAAAATATGGGGTTGTCCAAAACGGACGCAGGAAAGTAAACGCATATTAAAACAAGAAAGATTGATATTCAAATCAACTTGGGTACTTTATTTTGAAGGTTCATTTATACCATTTATGTATGAAAAACAATATCGCTCAAATGTTCACCACGACTGGATTTACAGACGTCCACGCGGTGGTCGAAATTTTCAATGACATTTTGCAACATGGTCGGTTCTATGGCATTTATCTCGGCAATGATGTTGATTTTGAGTTCTTGGAGGGTGGCTGGTTTGTTAACGTAGACTTTGCTTTTCAAATATCCCCATAAAAAGAAGTCCAAGGGAGTCAAATCGCACGATTTTGGTGGCCATGGCACATTTCCTCTGCGCGAAATCACGCGATCACCGAAGAAGGACTGCAATCGATGGATATTGACGTTGGTTGTGTGGCATGTTGCACCGTCTTGTTGGAAATAAACATCGTCCATATCCATTCCTTCAAGTTGCGGCAAAAAATAGTCCTCTATCATCACGTGATATCGCTCAGAATTGACGGTAACGGCGTCCCCGGCCGCATTTTCGAAAAAGTAAGGTCCGATGATGCCTTTTGACCACAATGCACACCACACAGTCACTTTTTGAGGATGCATCGGCTGCTCTTGATACTCACGGGGATTTTTGTTCGCCCAGATGCGGCAGTTTTGCTTGTTTACCGTCCCTTTCAAAGTGAAATGCGCTTCGTCGCTGAACATGATTTTTGATGAAAAATTGGCATCAATTTGGCGGTGTTCAAGGAGCCAATCTGAGAACGTTCGGCGCGAAAAATGGTCGGCCCGACGCAGCTCTTGCGTCAATTGGATCTTGTAGGCGTGTACATTCAAATCCTTGTGGAGAATGCGGAGCAAACTGGTTCTCGAAATGCCCAATTCTTGGGATCGACGCGTTGTTGATTGTTTCGGATCGTCTCTCACACTCTCCTTCACAACAGCAATATTTTCCGGTGTGCGAACGCTCCTTGGCCGGCCAGAGCCTGGCAGATTTGCCACAGAACCTGTTGCCTCGAATTCACGCACCAGACGACCGATGGTTGTTTCGTTTGGGCGGTTGTTGCGACCGAAATGTTCACGAAGCGCGCGAAACGTGTTTTTTATGTTTGCACCATTTTTGTAGTGCTCTTGAATAACTTTAATGCGGTCTTCAATCGAATACGACGCCATAGCGATCAATGGTAAACATTCAACTAACAAAATGACATGTCGGTGACAGAAAACAAAGATGGCGTCTATGTCAAATTGACGTTTACTTTCCTGCGTCCCTATTGGACAACCCTTTATAACCTTGAAATAGTCCAAGCAGGAACTGTCGCTGTTATTGAGACTATAAATTATGGCCATTACTGCGCACAAACGCTATTGAATCCGAAAAAAAAAACCGGAAGCGGTAATCTGGATGACCAGTTTTCGATTACCCTTACAGCTCCCAAAGCGTCCCAAGTATCTGGTTATTGGCGTAATCTATAGTGATTTGATATATCCAAACTGAGAATAATCTGCAAGTTTGAGATCGCAGTATCTTGTAGGCCAATAAAGGGTGTTCTAAAAGTATTGACTTTCTAGAAAAAACCGCGTTTGAATTAACGCTATTCTCCGGTAAAACCGCAGCGCAAAAAGGCTCAGGTATCAAATATTGCACTGTCAGATGTTGCTTAGAAATACTGATCGAAGTTGTCGCCGTTCGATCCAAAAACAAAGATAGTTAGCAAAAAGTAAAGGTGACAACCGCCACTCATGCCAATCGCGGTACTACCGACCCCTACGCACGATAGGAACTATTTGATTTCTGTCCCGTCTGAACCGTATACAACCTTGTTTCATATTCTTCAGCAATGATCAGTACCAAATACGTTTATTTTTCGCTTCTACAGTTTTTCAGTAAACTCAATTTGCTTGTTTGCAGGTGTATGTGAATGACTAGATCTATACCGTATTGACGATTGCTTAAAACGTTGTATACGGTTGGTTACTGTCCCAGAGTTGGAAAGCAAATGCATTTTTCAATTTGCAACAGTCGAGCCTGTCGAGGTCGTCTGCTGTGCCTAACTAGACATTCCAACAGACGACCTTTGCAAGAGATAAACAAACCTACGCGGCACGAGATGAAACGATCCAGGAAAGGGATTTGAATTACTCGCGAAGCAACAGCAGTACCTTAAAGACACCGTAAACTACAATTAAATCTAGATTTACCTTCACGGTGCATGACATTTGGGTTCAATACTGCCCCACGTCGTATCTGTTCACCTAATCCATTGCCGAAGGCAGTATCGGATTTGATATCGCAATTTTTTTTCGAACCTAATATTTCCGTTAGCTGAAAGACTTTGGTGTATGTGTTGCTGTGAAAATTTGCTCAGCTTTACGTGACCTATGCGCTGTAATAAGGAAAGTAGCAACTTTAAGAACATCCTTTATTCTCGGAATTGAGAAGCGATGCGTTCGTGAAATGTCTCATTTAATAATATCTCGCTATCAGCGATCAGTGAAGGGGCTTAGAAGCCAGCATTCGTCGCGTTATTATTAATATATTCCCCAAATGCTGCAGGATCGAAAACTTGTCTTCCGGATTGCACTTTTCTAGAGCCAGGTTTTGGCATGGAATAGTCTTTAGATATAGTAAGTGACAAGAACAGGTAAACACCTACGTATGTTTATTAGAATTCAAGAATTTTTTACATATAGATGTATCTTACCATGAACAAAAAGTGATAAAATGGTCAGGTTTTTCTGTTAAGTTTTTGTAGTGGCTGCGTGTAGTGTTTGGTGATAAAGAAGCATTCAGTTTTCGTATATTTACGGTGTCGGCTAAATGTTAAATTACGTGTAGCTTATTCAGAAGCCTTTTTGTGATTCCTCAAAATGCCTAGAGTGCGTAGGATGTCCCAGCTAAGTGACTGAGAGGGGTTGCGTGAAGCCGGTCTATCGATAAGAGAAGTTTCTAGGAGGACCAACAGATCCTTAAGCAGTATACTGCAGTGTGAACGAGCGTGGACCCAGGAAGGTCGAGGATAGCGAGCGAGTGGTTCTGGACGTCCCAGAGGAACCACAGAGCGACAAGACCGCCGGTTGAGACTTCTGGCTGTGAGAGACAGATTCAATAGTACTCGAGTCATCGCTAATCAGTGGTTTGAAGAGCATGGAAGGATGGTTCATACGCGTACGCTATATCGCCGAGTACAACAGTTAGGCTTTTTTTCTTATCGCCCACATTGAGTGCTACCTCTGACAGCTGAACATCGGCGTAACCGTCTGCTGTGGTGTAGAGAAAGAATTCTATGAGACTGGGAATGGAATCAGGTGGTCTTTAGTGACGAATCCCGGTTCTGTCTGGGGATGCACGATGGTGAAGAGTGAGAAGACGACGTGGTGAAAGACGTGACCCACAATTTGACAGAAAGCGTCACGTTCACCTCACGGTGGGAGTTATTCCACTAATTTTCATCAGAGGCACTATGTCAGGCCGACGCTATATTCAAGAAGTAGTGGAGACTCATGTTACTCCATACCAAAAAACACCATCCAAAACCCGATTTTTCAGCAAGACAATACCAGGTCGCATGTGGCCAGATCATCGTTAGCCTTCATGGATCAACATCGCATCAACCGTTTACCTTGGCCACCACGATTGCCTGACCTATTTTCAATGAACATGTCTGGGACATGATAGGTCACAGGCTCTTGAATTTGAACACCATTCACAAATTTTAGCAGCTCTTACTCACGAAGTTCCAGTAGCCTGGAATCAGATACCCCAACAGGATATCGACCCCCTTATCCGCACGATGCCCTGGCGTGTCAATGAGTGTATAAGAAATCGTGGATCGTCAACACATTATTGAACCAGCTTCTGCAGTCAGTTGACGAATCAAGCGGAAAATTTAATCATTTTACTAGCAAGGGGACACTGAATATATATGCCGAAAATTATTAAAATCGGATAAACATACGTAGCTGTTTACCTTTTTTTAGTCACTCAGTATATTCAAAAAACACCATGTTATAAGTTTTTGAAGGACAACATCAAAACAATCCTTATTTGAACTTGCGTATTAATGATGATATTTATGGATACGTTCTGCAAAAATATGCTTGCATGGGATTGTTTTTCGTATAAATGATCATACCAAATTCAATATTTATTTTATTTAGAACTGGAATAAACTCGATATTGCTGAAAATATAGTGCACATTGGTTAATTTTGCACGAATTCAATACGACATATCAGTATTTGCGAAATTCTGTCACTTCAGCGGTTTCTATTTGTATTTCAACGATTTCAGTAATTCCTATAGAAACTACTTTGTAAAAACTAAGGCAGTAAAAATGTTGTTCCACTTTTATAACCAGATCTATATCAACATTTTATTGGGCAATGTGCAAGTGAAATATGGACGAATACTGTGTTTAATAGCGGACCGATATCAACATAATGTTGGCCTTAAACTTAACCGAAACAAAATATTCTGTATCGGTGACTACTTGTTACGATTTAATACGTAATCGGTTTTCATAATAGTGCTTGCGTAAAATTATCTGTTTTTGTTCGATGGTGACTGTTCCTGTGATATCACATGAAACTGTAGGTCTAGTGAGCGGCGAAATAAAATTCTAAAGTTCTGGCGTTGTCCATCTGATTCGTTTTGGTGAAATTCAACGTTATCGTAACTAGGGTCATATACCCTATTGTCTAGACTTGACAGTAGACACGTTTTGTTGTGCATGTTTTTAGATTTTTCGACGTTTCACATTTTAGTATGTCTAAGGCATACATTTGTTATCGACACTCGCGTCTATGACGAGGTAATAAATATCAACGATAATGATCATGATAAATAAACAGTTTACTTATGATGCTTTATCAAAAGCATCTGCTTTGTTTATATTATGTCAAGTGGGTAGAGATACAGAAGGGTGAGAGGCCCTGGAATAAGTAGGTATGGCATTCTGGGCCCGCGGCCTAACGCGAAATACGGCGTATAAAGTCCGTGTCTATTTGTTATTGGTATCTCCAATAACTTGAATTATTCGCATAATTTTCGGTCTATATCAGAAAGTGGGATAGAACACACTCGTCCTACAGGCATGCCTGAGTTTTGACTTATAGCGATATAGAAATTGTGTGTATTGTATCGAAGAGTGCCCCGAAGAAAGTGAATCAGTATTTTCGGGGTGCCCTAGTTTTAAGGAGCAACATGCGTACGGAGGGTCATTTTATCGGGAACATGCAAAACATAAATGAGATTTTTCGGCCTTTAACAGATTAAAATAATTATAACAAGGGTTGACTAGTTCATGACTCTTCTGGATATTTGTGAAAAAATTATCTAAAATCTGGTCAGGCGTACATTATGGAAAATGATTACAGGGGTTGACTAGTTGTGGCCTCTTCTAGATTTTTGTGCACAGGTCAACAAACCAAAAGAATCTAGTGCCAATAGGATGTCGTGTTATGCAATAGAAACTCAACATATAGGTATTTTCTTCCATCCTATAGTTTTAGTTATACCCTTAGTTTTGAATATCGGTTGCAGTCAGTTATGTTTTTTATTTGTTCCGTGCATTTCAATAAAGAAATCGATTCTAGAGGATGCATTTTGTTACATGTGCGGTGAATACACAGTTAAAAAGTACATAAATACTTTTACAGAGTTCCTTAAAGACACTTATTTTTCACATTTCCAATATAAGTTGGAAATTGTGGATGAATACAAGCTGTCGGTACCCTAAATTGATTGCAAAACGTGTGATGAACATTTGAAACAGTTTGTCAGCAGTCAAAGAAGAACATAGGGATACGGTCTGTAGAAGAGAGAGACGAAGCCGAAAGAATGGGTGCCCACTGCTGGGGAATACAGAATCGTACAACACCTGAATCACGAACACTGATATTCATTTACGAAAATATCTCAAAATATTTTAAGAACGAGCGACCGCAATTTTGGCGTGTCTGGCGGACCTCTTAGAATCAATTGTACAATGAATGGAAGTTTATGATGAGATATTAGTGTTTTCAAAGTTTTACGTTGTATGACTCTTGAACTATGGGCGAATGAAGTTTGGATTTTCCCTTTGGTTTAAATGGCCTATAAGGAATAATATTTGCGCCGCTATAAAAATATGATAGTTTGGCAAGCTATGAACAGGAGAATATGTAGAATTCATATAGAACCACTTTATCCAGTTAGTAGTTTAGTACGAAAAATAACATAGGCACACAAAATAAAAAAGTGGTGTGTGTGCTTGGGGTTTCACAATGATTTTCCCATGTACTTTTTCACGCTGACCACGAATCAAAAGTCAAAATTGGGTGATGGTGGACAAATAAAAGATCACATATTATATCGTTTTTGGTGGATGTGCTGCTCTTCCCAGATCTCTGGCAGATGCACTTCCGCCTGAAACAGTAACATTTTTCTGATGTCTATATTACTTTTATATTTGTCCGTGTTTGCTCAATTTTGATTTGAAAAAATAAAGTTAGATCCCTAGCACACACCATTTTTGAGTGGACTTGTGGGTCGTTTTTATGCGTTTTCTCTGGATGTGTCGATCTCAATTATGCCTCCAAATTGCATACATGTTAAGCAAATTTACGAGGTCCGCAAACATGCCGAAATATGTTTGTTTTAGCCGTCGCTCTTTATTATACCGATCAATATTTTTTCAATAACAGTAGCTTGAATTTGCAAAAAATTTAAGATTTTTGAATAACTACTTTAGTTTCATGGAATAGGGAATATGCATATTTTTTGTTTATACCGTAAAACACATATTTCATTTATGGATGTATTTTTTAAAAATTGAATCTAAAACTACAATGCCAACGGTGTTGATTTAAACGTTGCATTTTTCGCGCGATTCGCAGTGACGTCTAACTAATGGTTTGTCATTTTATGCTGTTTGGTTAATTTGCTGTCAAGTTTTGAAATGTTTTATATTTATTTGTTTTTTCCGACGTTGTCTTGGGGGAAAAATTCTCTTGCTAGTACTCTTTGAAACTCAGAAATATCATTGCTCTAATGATAAACGATGAGCGCATTCCCATACTGCAGCGCTCAAAAAACTTGGACGTTATTTTAGACTTTAATATGAAATTCGATAAGCACATTAGTCGCTTGTCTCAAAAAAGTATCCCAAATTGAAGCTACCTTGTTTTGATTATATCTTTTTCTTGTCTTTTTGTGTATACTTAATTTGGTTTTGACACTTTTCACACAGTGGGATTAATTGTAAAAGTAGCCCTGTGGCTAAGCTTTTCCTCTCTAATATACTTCAATGAAGTCAATTATCAATATTATTAATAATCAAACTGATAAGTTGAGAAAATCAATGACAGCGACAAAGGATTGGCTGTTTCAAATTTTCCCGTTTCTTTATTAATTAATACAAGCAATTTTATAGCGCGTAAGTATAAAATACGGTAAATTTCTGTAGCAATAAAATAAAGTAAATAACCTATATTTGAATCACTTGCACATTCCCTATTGTCAAATCAAATGAACCTTCGTCAACAGTGTTCTGAAGTGATATTTTTTAGGAATGAAGACTTTTCTGTCTGCTAAAGCAGACTTGACGCTAAAAACAGCAATTGCCAAGAAACCAGTCAAATAATTTCTCGGAAGCTGACAACTGTATCAGATGGAATAGAAAAGTGTAAAATTTCCTCTCGTCTCTTCAACATACTACTATATAAAAGTTCGAGGAACCTTCATACCAGCTTATTATCAACGCAACTTTCGAAAAGTTTTCCAATATAAACTTCTCGAAACTTTATTGCTTTACTTCTGACCTATAATGTGAAATTAATATGGTAGGGTTGTGGAACAACTGGTAAAACGACTGAACACCAAGGATATTTTGTTTCCACAACTTTAACGTTGCGCCTCACTTTTCGATGAATTTGACAAGTTTAAAATATAAACACTTTGCTGCGTATAGTATAAGTTTACTGAAACAAAAGAAAAAGTAACGCAACAGCGAATGCGATTTTATTTGTTCTTCAAGAACAATCGAGGTTGCTGCTACCTTTTTGCTATGCAGCTCAGCACTAGTGAAATCTGCAAACGGTGTCATTGTTTTTTAATGATACAGATATACATAAATGCCAACAGAAATTCAACCTCCAAAGTGGTATTCAAATGGACGGTCGGTGTACAAGAAGTTTTAAAATTAATCCGTGGGAATGGATTGTTGAATGCTGCAAAAGTGAAATATGAAATCGTTGAATCGTTTCGGGACTGATTAGATGTCAGTAAACATGTGTAGCAATGATCATTTCTCCTCTTCTCTATTATACTATTTTTTTACTCACTAAGGGAGAATCTGGCAGTTTTATTATGTAAAAACAATACCCAAGTCTTTTTTCAACAATTATACAAATATTTATTCAGAACGTATCCGGAGATGCATCAACACTTGAGTCTTGCAGATACTGTTCAGTAAAATCCGACACAATTGATAACGACCTTTTGACATTTTTATGTATTGCAGAATAGTACTCTCATTATAGAAAAATCATTCACTTTCGATTGCAGGCTTACTCAAAATAATAAGCACGAAGACATAAAAAATATAAGATACTATTTTTCAAAACCACTTACTTTCTTTTCTCTCCTATAAATGATTTTTGGTATTTCTATATTTGGACTAATAACCAAATAGGTCAATTTTAAAAGACAATTCACTGAATCCTTTGTAACAATAAATAATTTAAAACTTGCTAAACATTATCACGATTTGTCATAAGTCACCTATTACATAAAATCATGATTATTTTGGCGGTCACTACCGAATTGAAAGCTTTCTACTTATATTGCTTATTATTTATAACATAGAATTAGACATGACTCGTTTCTTAACAATAATGCATATTTTCTATTGTTTAAGAATACGTTTATCCTTTAAACGAGCATTTTTAACTCTAACTACTATAAATGGACACCTTAGGATTAAAAAATATGGTTTTTGGGCGATATTATTTTTGAACTATTTGCTTTTAACGCCGTAAAGAACCTTTCCATCGATTTTGAGAGGAAAAGCTTTAGGAAAAAATGTTTGGTTCTCTAAATGCTGATTTTTTTCGTCAACGCTGCTACATAAAAAAATGTTTGTAGTGTCTACATACTAGTTATTAAAACGTCAGAATGTAGTCATATCTTTTGAGTCAAATTTTGCTGATCAAATATGGGCATTTCGCAAATATTACCTAGTTTCGATCACTCAATTCAAAATATACCGCGAAATATGCATTAAGGATAAATCACCAACTTCACATAACACAGCACGAAACACCACTAGACTTTTTCTGAAAACACCCCTCGCACCCTTTTGAAGTGTAATACGTCGGTACGACAGATGTCTTCACTAGAGAACGGCCGCAGTACCGTACGACAAATTGTTCTTCGAGCACTATGTCAACGACATACGTAAAGGAGGAGGTACCACCCTCAAGTTTGCGCGCACGACTTGCACTTTTTTGGGCAGTACTGGGTAAAAACCTGTAGCGTGAATATGCGTACAGACAAAGAATTCCTCGAGTGATCCGATATGCTCGCGTACCGTGAATGTCCGCGGTGCACTAACCTGCTGCTGGTTGGTATACTGGTGCTGAATCTGGTGTGTACGGCGGACAACACAGACTTTCACGCGGATACCGCCGTCGACACGCCTGCGGGCGCCGGACGCACTCGCGTATACAGTAACGAACAAAACTTAGAAAAAGCTTTAATCTGGCTACACGTTATGTGTATCTGAGGCAGACAAGAAAGCCTACTTTTACTTCTCGCGCCAATGACGAGGAAGTATTGTAATTACGAATTTTTTGGATGTTATATGACATAAAAAACATTGTCACTCATTTCCGTCGGTCTGCCTATCTCTAGCTTGGAAAGTACAGCTCGAATGTGGATGAAATTTATATACAAGGTTACCACTATGCCAAGGACAAAAAAGGTTTGTAGTTTTTGAAATTGGATCCATTGGCGGCGGAGGGCAGAAACACGAAAAAAACATGGTTTTCTTGTTTCGTTTCAACTAAATTCAGGACGTGTGAATTAAATTTAGTGTAAATTAACTAAGTCTAGTATCTATTAACTAAACCTAATATGTGTTAACTAAATTTAGTACGTGTGAATTAAATTTAACGTAAATTAAATTTAGTATGTGTTAGCTAAGTTTAATATGCGTTAAGTAAATTTAGTAAACGTTAACTAAATTTAGGGCCAATTTCACCAACAACGGTCCGTTATTCTCCACCTATAGGGTAATAATCCGTCAAATACAGCGAATGAGCTTCAAGTTCCAATCAACAAATTTTAGCAACCAATAGCTATGAAATGTTGAAGACAAAATACTGTCAAAGTATGAGATGACATCTTGTCATTGAAACATCATCAGCTTATTGAATATTAAGAAATTACATATAATTCAGTCAAAATTTAACCAAATGTTTGATTTTTGAATAAAATTCATGTTTTAATTACCATTGTTGATTTTTTATTCATGTCTATATTATTTTCTTCAATTGCGATTTTACTGATTCAAGATCATCTGGGTGTTTTTCCCTATAAACCTCTTGCCGATAGCCATTAAGCACCTACTTGATGACTGGCTCTACCACAAAGTTCATAGATATTGCTCGTTTCCAAACATTCATTCATTTACTTGCCGTTCATCAGAACCACTATGGCTCCTTAGATTGATATTCCCACAAAACTATTCTGGTTTTTTAATATCCATACATCCATAAAGTTGAATATTTTTCGTTGTTCAGGAACTTAACAAACATCCACACTATATTCACAGCGATTTAGAAATACCCAAACATATGTCGTAGAGCTACCAGCAAACCGAAAACCTGCAGAAAAACTGGAAATTTGCAATATTTTTCTTTTTTCACTGAGTACATATTCTGGGTTAGATTTATATTAGACGTTATTTGAATCACAAAACATATACACTGCTTTAAATAATAGCTGATTATCTCCTGATATTTTAAAACTAACCATATCGACAAGTGACACATAATTCTGTGGGATCCGTCAACACTTCGTCCCAGTGGCCAGTGGAGCAAACTCTGCCAACTGTCGAAATAAACTTTATTAATTCCAAGTCTTATTTTTGTTTTACTGAGCCTGCTTAGATATTCAAATACGGTCAGGAATTATTAGCGCCTGGCTATTTTAGGCCTTCAATAACTCCTTATTTTGGATCTCTCCTTATTTTGTTTTTTTCCACGCATTCATGGTAGAAAGAAAAATATGTTATCGAATAAATATCGATACCGTATACCGTGCAGCAGGCACGCCCATCACTACTTTGACAGATTGCAGAATGATGTCAAGGTGACAATCGTTATGTGTTTTTGTCTGAAATAGGCAAGTAGGCTTTGTGTTTTCATTTTTATTTTTATAGCGTTTCCAGAATTTCATATTTTGAAACGATGTCAAAGGCCGGCAGGGGAATATCTTTCTCTATCGTCGCCATCCCTATATTGTATCCCCACCAGTCACCAGTCAAAAAACTTAACCACCAATATTTTATCACTATTTATAATTCTTTTTAGTCCTTATTTTTCAGTAATTACTAATAATTTTAGGTCTATGTCCACAGTAATTGCATTATGCACCTCGGAGATGTAGGGATTAACATGTTTTACACATATCGGTGTTTTAGGATGGGGACGACCATACTGTTTTGATTGCTTTGAAGAAATTCATTAACCCATGAATTTATAACAACTGTTTACTATTATTATGTAAAGAGAGATGAGGAATTGGTTGGAATACATTTTATATTCTATTTTCTTGCAAATCCGCACAATTCAACAGGTATGTGTAGCTATAATGATCACATAATATACACACAGTATATTGAACTTAACAAATTTCGAGATTGCCATGAATTAACAAACGACCAAACCTGCTGCCAAATTTAACAGCTAGAAAATGGACCTATTATTTCTCCCATTCCCATTCGCTGAGGGGATAACGGATTGTTAAATGTAAACTTGTAACATATATCAAAATACATGAAAGTGTCCTGTTTTTTCAGTACAAAAGCATCATGTTGGAATCAAAAATGGTCTTGTTTATAATACAGTCGAATTTTCACGATTTTATTCAACATTTTAATAGAAATCACTGATATTCTGAGACATTTGACAGCTTCCGTCAAATTGCATTTCGATAAGGTATTTTAATATTGGTCCATAATAATAATGTTGGTGAAATCGGCCCTTAGTATGTTAGCTAAGTTTAATATGTATTAACTAAATTTTCGGAAAACGACAGTACGACAGTGGTCTATCCTCAATCGCACATTCAACACTTGGAATAGTTGCCCAGAAGTGTGGTTTATACTACGTCAGTCAATAGCTTCAAAGTGTATTATGATAGGTGGAACAGTGAATAAACTTTATGTGTATATATAGAGAGAGAAAAAATGATCATGCGGAGAAAGGTATATGTATAACAAAAAATAGCAAAATAATGGGCAAAATCCGCAAAAAGAAGGAAAGTGGATTCGAGCAGAAAAAAGGATAGGTAACCCGAGCGATACGTATTTCTGCTGGATGGATCATCAGGCCCGGAATGAATGCCCATATGTAACTACAAAAGTATATACTCATGCCCATACATCCGGATACGGGTGTAACCTGAGGAAACGAAGATGGAAAGGAAAAAATCACAAACGAAGTCCACAACAAGAGCCAATTTACACATTGTAGTATAAAATGGCTAGAAGACCTCGAATTTTTAAGGCGACATCTAACCACAACCATGCGGCCTGTTATATCCACTTGCAGTGGTATTCAAGCCCAAAGGATCTACAACGAGAAAATGATCATGCGGAGAAATGTATATGTACATATAACAAAAAAATAGGAAAATAATGAGCAAAATCAGCAAAAAAAGAAGGAAAGTGGATTCGAGCTGAAAATAGAATAGGTAACCCGAGCAATACGTATTTCTGCTTTTTGGTTTCATCAGGCCCAAAATGAATGCACATATGCAACCACAAAAGTCGATACACATGCCCATACATCCGGATACGGGGGTAACCTGAGGAAACGAAGATGGAGAGGGAAAAAATCACACACGAAATCCACAACAAGAGCCAACGTACACATAGTAGTAGTAAAATGGCTAGAAGACCTCAAATTTTTATATATGTACATTATGAATTTATATATATATATAATGTATTTATATATATACAGGGTGTTCCATAATTATTGCGACAAAATGATAGGGGTTGTAGAGGGCATCAAAATGAACAATTTTGCCTTATAAACCCCTGTTCGGAAATATGCCGTTTGGGCTGCAGCAAAAAAAAAAGATCAGTTTCTTGAAACAGCTTACCTACAGTAATTGCTCAAAGTGTCCTCCACCTTGCTCAATACACAGCTGTGCACGATTGTTTAATGATCGGCAAACTCTGTGGCATACCCCCGGTATGTCCTGAACATGTGCGGACGCGGCCATCACTCTTCCCAGTAGCTCTTGTTGGTTGGGAACAGAAGTTTCGTACACTAAAGCTTTCAGATGGCCCCAGAGAAAATAAATCAGTGGGGTCAGGGCGGGTGAACGGGCAGGCCAAGGCACAGGGCCACCTCGGTCTATCCACCTATTTGGAAATTTGTCGTCCAAATACTGCCGCACTTGTAAAGACAAGTGAGCTGGAGCGCCATAGCGTTGAAACTACATGTTGGCTCTTATGTTCAGTGGCACATTTTCTATTTTACGGTAGCCCATGCTGTAAGAATCGACCATAAGCATGCCCATCCAAACGTGGTGGAAGCAAATATGGCCCGATGATATGCTCGTACACAATGCCGCACCAGATGTTAATTGAAAACTGATGTTGGTCTCTATGGATGGCTATGGCATGAGGGTTTTCTTCATCCCAAATGTGACTGTTACGGCTATTAAAATAACCGTCCTTTGTAAAACAGGACTCGTCAGTGAACAAAACGTAGCGACCGAAGTTTGGTTGCCTCAACTCCTGCTGCAGCCACCAACGACAAAAACGTCGACGCGGCAGATAGTCATCTGGACCCATGGCTTGGACTTTTAAAAGGTGGTATGGGTGTAGTTGCTGGTCATGGAGAACCCGCCAAGCAGTAGTTTGAGATGCTCCCATATCATGTGCAATAGCACGCACGCTTGTACGCGGATTGGCCTCTACATGATGCAGAATCGCTTCCTGAAATTCTACTGTGCGCCTCGTGAAGGGCCGCCCTGCTCCCGCGAGGTGTCTGATGCTGCCACTGACACGAAGACGTCCATGAATCCTTGCAAAAATGGCGTGATGCGGATGAGGACGTTCTGGAAACCGTTGGACGTAGATTCGCGAGGCTCGTCTCCCGTTACCACCAGCTTCTCCGTAAATGAAATGCATATCCGCAAGTTCCGCATACGAATAACGCTGCATTTTAACACTAAGGTATTGTTATTTACTATCTAGTTTGACGCACCACTCAGATAAATTAAATGAATCGGTGTGGAGAATTTACGATAACAAAAATGTAAACACAGCAGGTTTTTTTTACAAACCGGCGAGACCATTAAATGTGCTAGACGAACATTTTGCAGCTGGTGAATTTTTTGTTTCTCCTATGAGC